GCGGCGGTGCGCGCGGCCGGCAAGCTCGGGGCCGCGCTGATCGTAGTGTTCACGGTCACCGGCCGCACCGCGCGGCTCATCGCCAAGTACCGCCCCCACCAACCCGTGCTCACGGTGGGCTGGCTGGGGGGCCGATTGGTTGGGCGGCCGGCTGGTTTGGCGGGCGGGCGAGTTGCTGGCTGGTCGGCAGCTCGAGGTCGAGCTGGCTGGTCAGCCGGCTGGTTGGCTGTCAGGTTGGCTGGCTGATCGGTTGGCGGGTGCGTTGGATCGCATTCCTTGTGCAGTCGCTGCCACGAGCGGGGTCGCAGCACTGCAAGACTCCTGCAGCCCTGCGGCCAGCCTCCCTCGCCGCCTGGTGCCCACGTGGCGTTTGCGGGCGTGCGTGGATGCGTGTCTCGCAAGCACCTCGCGTGCTTTCTCGGCCGCTTGCGCGTCTGCCAATCTTTGCAGCAAGCGTGTCCGCTGCACGGCAACACAGGCAGACACTCCTGCGTGGTCCTGCACCGCGCAGGACCACGCTCCCGGAATCGGCCCGCACTACCTGAGCCCTACGTTTGACCCTTTGTGCACGATACGGGCTGATTGCACGAGCCCCACCTCTAGCAAATCGCGATACAGAGGAACCCCTTGCTGACCGTACGGCCCCCCCCTGCCGCCGCCCCGCCCCCCAAAGGTCGTCGTGCCGGGCGTCACTAGTGACGGCCTGCGCTGGGTGTGCAACGGCGACTTCGTGGCGCGCCAGTGCCTGCAGTACCGGGGGGTCATGCCCATCTGCGCAGACGCCAGCGTGGGCAGCCCGGACGGCGCCGTGCTGCACGCGGCCCTGCGGGTGGTGAGCGCGGCGCCGCCGACTCGTGTTTGCTTCCGGGGGCAGGGTTTAGGGTGTCGCGCTAGGGTGTGCTTTTTGGTTGGTGTGGAGCAGCAAAGACAGTTTGATGCACCCCAAGCGACACGGAGCTGTTTGAACGATGCTGCCTGCAGCGGCCCGGCAGATGTGCAGACGTGTTGGCGACCCTTGGTGGCCTCTGCTTGTTCCTGGCCCGCGAAGCTGCGGGGAAGCTGCCTCATCTGATTGCATCGCATAAGCCGCTCAAAAAATCCGAGGGCCGGCACCATCTTCCGGAGCCTCCTGCTCATCCCCTGCGCCTTGCCCCGCCCGCGGAGCCGCAGGCGGCAGAGAAGGGGCTGACGCGGCCCGGGGATCGCGTGGTGGTGTCCCAGTGCCCCCGCGTCACGCAGCTGTTTGGGGATACCATGCGGGAGGCCGGGGTGGTCAAGATCCTGCAGCTGGCGGGTGCGTGGGGTGTTGGCGCGCGCGTGTGTCTGTTTGCTTGTTGTGCACAAGCGTGTGCGTGTGTATGTGTTGTATGTGTGTGCGCATGTGTACGCAGGTCTGTATTTTGAAGGTTTTCATGCTGTGTGCACGCATGTAGGGCAGGTCTGTTTTGCCACGGGTCCTCTCGCCAGCTGCAGCCATGCACATAGAGGGCGAATCTCTGCCCCGCCTGTCACACATTGCAGCCCTCTCTCGTATGCCCCTCAATCCCGATACGCCCTTCTCCTGACCCCAACGCTCAACGCGCGCGACACTCATTCCCCCCTCAAGCGGACGGAATCTCTACGGTCAGGGCGGCGGCCTGCGTGGACACGGCCGGCCACGTTGTGGAGACGCGGGAGGGCGAGCACAACTGACTCAAAACAGTGGCATCATCCCGAGGCCCAAGGTCAAGGGCAAGGCGGTCGCGCGGGCGGCGGCCCCGCCTCGCCTCGCGGTCTCGCGCGGTCTCAAGGCAGTGCGGGCGCGGGCCCGGCCCGGGCGGCGGCCACTGGAAACCTTGAGCGGCTGGCGCGGTCCAGCGGCGGCTGCGGTTTGTTGCCACATGACCAGGGGCTCATGTCATGCTGGCCGATGGTGTCCAGCAACGAAATGCATGTGTGTAGACAGTGGCGGCCTCGCGAGGCTGGCTGCACCGGTTGCTTCGTAGAACACTCAGGCCGGGCCAGAGCAACGATTCTGGACAGTTTGCTCCAGAGTCTGGGAAGGAGGGATGATTTTGGAGTGCATTTGCATGGGGTGACAAAGGGGTGCACCGCGCGCGCCACCTGCGCAAGAAGAAGAATCCAGCATGCATGTCGAGCTTGTGGCCGCTGATGTTGGTTGGTGGGGCGGCCTGGCTGGGCGGCGCTTCGCTGCGTCGCCCATCGGCGGCCGGCGCTGGCACAGCTCCGTTGGGGGAGGGGGGCCCCTCGTGCGTCGGCTGCTCGGCGGTGTGTCCCTGCGCACACGCCGCGGCGCGCGCGCCGCCCTGCCGCCTCGGAGCGTCTCCCCATCTGCGCCTAAGACAAAAGGCGGTGCACATGCTTCTGAAGGAGGCCCATTTGATTGCTTGTACAATCCAGCTGTGCGAGGGATGGCTGATGAGAAGCGAACACAATCCACCGTGTAACTCCACCTGCTTTGAACCCGCCCCTAATTGCCAGCCCTCACCAGCGCCCTCAGAGCGTGGTCCGTGGCGGTCGTCGGCGCGCACAGCTAGGTCATGTTGCTCGGTGGAGCCACCAAACTCGGTGGCATATGCAGAAGGGATGCTGATGGTTTGCAGGACACGGAGCCCCTGTAAGCTTCGCGTCTTTCAAAGGATGACAGCTGCAAAATCTAGGTCCACAATGTTGCGTGGGGCAGTCAAAGGGGTTGATCTAGAGGGGTGGAGGTGAGACGTGTCGATGGCATGCAGTGGGTGCTGCATGCGTGGGATCCGCCCCGAAGCGGAGGTCGGGCCAACATTGCCGCGACAGTGCAATTGATCAGTTCAGAAGTCCCATACGGCATGTAGGTGGGGCTCAGACATTATATTACATTAGCTCATTTGTTTGTATCACCAGCCTTCGCTTGAGCATGGCACATGCGCGGTCTGGCCGTGCCACGCGGACCGCGTTGCCGCATCATCGTCACCGCACAACTGCCGCTTCGTCGAGCGCGTACACCACAGCGTATGTAATTGTGTTGAGCTTTCTGCTGACGGCATAAGGTGCAGCAGATGCGGCAATCGTTGCACAAATGCACCGACGCTCGAGCTGCCAGTGTCCTTGATGTATGTCGCGCGGCCTTCGGTCCGCCCTCTTTCGCTCTACCCGTAGGAGAGAGCAGCAGCAGCAATGACGACGCGTGAGCAGCCGGCCTCCCAAGGGACTTGCCTGCTGGGCGGCCGTCAGCTTAGTGCAGCATGGTCTGCTCGGCACTATGGCGTCTGTGGAGGAGTGTTTATGATACTTTGTGCAATAAAAACGGCACTGCCGCCGGCTCAAGTGGAGCAGCAGCGAACCAGACCGCACTTGCTGCACCTCTCAACACCGCAGGGCTGAGGAAGCACAGGAAGAAGCGCGGGCACGTCAGTGCCGGCCATGGACGTGTGGGGAAGCACCGCAAGCATCCCAGCGGCCGTGGTAACGCGGGTGGCCAACATCACCACCGCATCCTCTTCGATAAGTACCACCCCGGCTACTTCGGAAAGGTGCGACGACGCCATGCATCCAGATCTGAGCGCCGCGGGGCGCCTCACCTTGGCCACGGCTGGTCGCACGGCCCCGCCATCAGCTGTACTGCTGCTCGCACGTCGCTCACGCGCTGCGCTGATTGTTTGCGTCTTGCAGGTCGGCATGAGGCACTTCCACTACAGCCGCAACAAGTACCACTGCCCGATCGTCAACCTGGACAAGATCTGGTCCCTGGTTGGCGAGGAGGTGCGTGACTGTGCTGGGCTTCAGGCGGGGTCGATTGCATGTGATGACTTGGTCATTCCCTTCGGTTTCGCAGCAGGCTTGCGGCCAAACATGATGTTTTGAGTGGCAGTGATGTGACTGGCACGCGGCGTGCGAAGAGGCGTCAGCACAGTGACAGGCGGGAAAAGTGGGCCAGGCGTGCACATGTCAGGCAAGCGCCCAGCAAGCTGGCAGCACCACGGCCATTTGCGGCGCGTACAGCGGCAACAGCAGTGGCCACGGGGTGCGGACGTTTATATGCCACCAGTACTGGCGGGCGTGGTGCGGCAGAGGCCTTTGAAGGAGCGGCGGCTTCAGCGCTTGGAACGGCGCAAGGGCGGCCGCGCGCGGCGCTCGTCGCGCCTTTTGCTTTGCAGCGGCTTGGGGTGGCAGCAGGATCTGGGGCAGGATAGACTTGTCAGCCCTGCGCCGCAGCGGACAACGCAGTGGTGCCGGACTGTGCTCATATGCTCAGGGGGCGGGCGCTCAGCTTCTTGTGCCACTTGGGTCAGACGCAGCGGCACCGCCAGCAGCAGGCAGCGCCAGGGCGCAGGCGTTCGCGCCTGCTTGCGTGTGCAGGCACCTGCTGCGACCTCCTCACCCGTGCGTGCCGAGGCTGTGTCGCGGCGGTGGCGCTCCTGCACGCGTCAACACGCCAAAGCGCTGCTGGGAACCAGTCAGCGGCCGCGACCCAGCCCTCCTCAGATCTGGAGTCTGTTGCCATTGCAGCACCAGCTGGCGGCGTGCTCAGCGGCAGCGCCAGCAGGCAGCTGCCGCACGACATTTCACCCTGTCCCCACGCACCCAGCCGGTGCCGTTCGCACGCCGCAGCTCGCCGACCCACCTGGATGCACCCACCCACAGGGTCCCACCGCGCACACCACCCGCTGCCCCCACCCGCTCCCCCACCATGTCAGGCGCGCGAGGCAGCGGCCAAGGACAAGTCCTCGGCCCCCGTGATCGACGTGACCAAGTACGGCCTGTTCAAGGTGCTCGGCAAGGGCCAGCTGCCCGCGCAGCCGCTGGTCGTGAAGGCCAAGTTCTTCTCCAAGCTGGTGGGTTTGGTTGGGGAAAAACATTCGCTTCGCTGGGGGTTTGGGGCCGGGGCCGATACGCCCTTGCGTGTCGGCTTGGGACGGTGTGGACAGCAGACGCGGGTGCCAGGCGCACGGGAGCGGGGCTGCAGCTGCGCGCGGCGTGTTTTCGCGGCAGGCGGCCGCATGGGTGTGCGGGGCTGTGGATCGGAGCCTCGCCGCGGGCCGAGCGGCGCCTCGATGGGCGTGCCTGCGGAGACGTGGTGCGTGTCGCGCGGCGGCTGGCCTTGTTTGCGGGGTCCCGCCAGGGGCTCCTGAGACATCCTCCCTCAATCCCATTGCAAGGGTCCCCGCGTGTGCTGGCTGCCCACACAACTGCAGCCCAACCTCCTCATGCCCGCACTATTCCAACCCGTTCCCCCCCCTCCCATCCTGCCAACAGGCCGAGAAGAAGATTAAGGAGGCCGGCGGCGCTGTCGTGCTCACCGCCTGATCAGATCAAATCGCGCGATCCGATCCATCCGACCCGCCTCGGCGGCGTTGTAACAAGCCGCGGCTGAGATGGGATGCGGCTGCGTGAAATGTGGGGGCCACGCAATGCGGCTCGGGGTTGGTTGTGGGGGTGGTTGGTCGGCAGCTGTGGAGCGGGGGCGGTTGGGTGGCTGAGATCGCGCGCCCAGGATGCGACGCTCGGCCTTGCAGGTGCTCGGTGTCAAGAGCGTAGGGATCAGTCGCAGCTCAGCGAAGCGGCGTTTTCACACATCACGGTGGCAGCTCGGAAGCGCGGGCTGCCGCACACTGACCGACCCATCCCGGCGCATGAGTTGCATTCCCCGAATCTGTCGTGCATGCGGTGCGCAGCGTCAACGCAGTGGCGTGCCACCCTGCAAAGCATGATTCAACACCACGCTGACTCGGCGGCGGCCTCACAAGGGGGGCAGCTGCCACCGTTCAGCCGCGGGCACTGCACCGTTGAGTGAGGTGTCATGCAAGTGCCCTCCACAGCGAGCTTCCTTTTTAGGTCATTACACACGCTCTTGATATCTACAATACGACGAGCGGTCCGTTGCCGGTGCAACGAAGTACAGTTGTGCTGGCGAGTCAATCGTGCTGGAGCTAAAGGGTGTTCTGGAGGCACTGTGAGAAGGAATGTCGCTGCTAGAGGCGGAAGAGCTGCTGTCGCGATGGTGCGCCAGGGGTTTGGCACCCAGATCAGCGGGGATGCCCTGCGATGGAGGCCGGAATCGAATAATGTGCGCTGCCAGTGTGTATCACAAACATCAACAGCCCAAGGATATGTCCCTGGAAGAGCCCTGTGCAGCTTCAGTGTCGATGCTGCAAAGCAGCGCGTTGCCGCAAAACGGCGGGCTCAACTGCCGGTCCCGCGGCCATCAATCGCAACGCCCCTTTCCAACACCCCGTGCAGCCGCGCGCTCAGCCAAAAGGTTGCGATCTATGCCAAGAGGCTTGTCGGGGAGAGCGATGCTTTAGCTGTGGAGGTGGGGGGCGGCGTTGCTGCTGCGCGTTGCGGGTGTGACCCTGCATGGTGGGGGGGGGGTGCACCCGAATGAGTAAGACAATCAAATTTCTGCACGGTTGCGCCTTTGAAGGCCGCACGAACACTGCGGCTCAAATCGCATCAAACGGCCTCTGGCAGTTGCCTAATTGCTTCCAGCCCGCGTGCGCTGGTGCCGCACATTCCAGCAGCCGCAGGCCGCAGGTGGCCCCGCGTGGCCGCCCCGCGGGTCGCCTGCTGGCGCGGACCTCGTTAGTCGATCTGAGTGCATGCGTCTGTCCACCCTTGACGTATTGTGTGCAGGTCAAATCACTCCAGGCGTCGATCACGGCGCTGCGGCGCGGCGCCGCTGACAGGATCGCGGATGACTCCGAGCTCGAGCACGTGGGTTGACTAATCGCCGTCCGGGTTTAGTCATGCCTCCGCGCGTTGCTCGCCGTTGGGCAGCCGGCGCGCGCGGCGCGTGTTCGCAGCGCGTGTTGGCTGCGCCCGGACAAACATGGCGGCTGGGGGCACGCGGCTCGCGTCCATCATGTTTAGGGGGCACTGCAGAACACGCAGAATACAGAGGGTTGGTCAGCCGCTTTTCAGGCTGCAGGGGACCTGGAGGTCGACACGTCATCCTTCGCGACTCTGGAGGCCCATCAGTCACCCACACCTGCGCACGCGTCACTCGTCACTCGCAACAACACCGCCCGTCCGTGTCCCCCGCGCGCCGCGCCGCCGCCGCGGGCGTCACTGGCGCCCGCAGGTCCTGGAGCTGCTGTCTGACGCGTCGCACACGCTGACGGGGATGGGGCCCGGCGGTGACCTGTGAGTGACGTCACTCAGGACGGGCGGCGGGGCGCCCCGGCGGATTGGTGGTGCGGCCGCGGCGGAGGCGCTGGCGATGCGTTGCCCGTCGCCGCCGAGGCAGCCGCGGCGACGGGGCGCGCCACAGCGCGCGCATGCCCGGTGCCCTGCCCCGCTACGGCCC